CACCGAGGTCTCGCACGAAAGGTGCGGGATGCAACGATTGACCTGCCATCGTGTAGGTTCGACTGTGCTCATACTTACCCAACCTCATGAATTGCGACTCGATCGGAAAGTTGACCTCTGCAGACCACGTGGAGAGGCGGACAAGTTCATGCTGAAGCAGGTCACATTGATTGTGCGGATTACTCTCCACGCCTTCAAGTCATCCACGAACAATGCGCAAGGTGAATGAAGTAGCTGAGGCACATCCTTTACATGGATCAGAAAAAAATCGGCCCCATTATAGTGCCTTGTGGCACGTCACTACTCGATGAATACCAGTTGCTTAAATGGTTGTCGACCTCGACCGTCCACTTTCGATCAACATGGAAATTTTTGATCCATCCGTGCAGCGAGCCGCCAGCAGCCTGTCGAGGAGCACTGCATGATTTATCTTGTCAAAAGCCTTACTGAAGTCATTGTAAATGACGTCAACCAACTTGCCTTGATGCATTGCTTTCAACCATTCACGCCTCATCAACAGTAGGTTGGGGATGCACTAGCGACCTTTCACGAAACCATGCTGTGCGGGCGTCAAGAGGCTTTTCGACTTGAGAAGCTGCAGAAGACTCTTCTTCACGATCTTGTCGAGCGTTTTTGCCAAAACAGCGTTCAGGCAGATCGGCCGGTAGTTATCCACTTTGCTTGTGTTACCACCTTTCGGTATTGGCTTTACTACTGAGCATTTCCAATCGGCCGGTAATGGTCCAGTGGATATTAAACTATTGAACAGCTCAGTTACAGAAGGTGAGCTGATGGCCGTTAGGGACTTGAGAATCAGTGGGTGGATTCCATCTGGCCCAGCAGGCTTCGTTTCGTCAACACTTGCCATAAGCCTGCGTACATCTTCAACGCTGCAATCCAGGCTGTCTAGTTCAGCGGGAGCGGTACTCGTCGAACTCGGTACAGTCACCTGGTCACTTGCAAATGCGGAAGCGAAGTGCGCTGCCAATGCGGACGCACGATCTGTGCTCGAAGTTAGAGGCTGCCCATCTGAACTTTCCAACAATGGCACATTACCTTCAGGCCTCAAGCGCCGCTTCAGGTAGGCGAACATCCTCTTGGGAGCAGTTTTTGCGGCGGTTGCAAGCTGCTCTTCGAAGCTTCTGCGCTTTTTGTCTTCGCGTTGTTGCAGAGATTCCGTTGTGCTTTGTAGACCTCGTAATCCTCATCAGAGCCAGCTAACATGAATTTGTGCCATAGTCTGCGTCGTCTTCGGGCCAGTTTGCTGTACTCCTTGTCGAACCAATGTGACTTGACTGGCCCAACTTTCCGATATTTGAGGGGTACAAATCGGGCGCACAACGATTTCACTCCCTCTTTAATGATAGTCCAACAAGTTTCAGCAGACGAATCCTCTGGTAACCACCAGTCCATCTGGCTCGCTGCTCGAATGACGTCATTCAAGTCCGCATTCTAATAGTTGAAGGCTGGCTCCAGCGAGGGAGAATACGGCAGCGGTAGTTCCAAGCTGGTTATGATCATCGAGTAGTCACTGGCTTCCGAAGGCTCCAAGACTTGAATGTCCTGCACGCGTTGCTCACAGCTGGTCAAAAGCACGACGGAGTCGTGCGCGCAGTAATGCGTGTCGGTTGGTTGATATACTGTGTGGCCCAAGTTTCAAATATCAACTCCGCAAACTTCCTCTCGATTTCCCAATGGCCGGGGAGAACTTCTGCCTCAGGCCATTGTATTCAGGGTATGTTGAAATCACCCATGTGTAGGAACAGCGGACGACTCATGTGGTTGTGAACATGCACAACCAGTCCAAGCAGCGACTCAGTGGACTGCGATATACCACGCCCACGAGCATCTCGCAACATCTAGGTGAATCGAACACCATAACTGCTCACATAGACCATCAGCGCTTCGGTAGGTGCTCACTAGTCTCCCACCAAAGGAAGACTTTATGTAAAGCAGAACGCCACCGCGATCATTTGATGGTCGATCACAGCGGAAGCATGAGTAGCAGCTGATTTCCACTTCTTGGGCGGTTACGTCAGAGTTTAACCATGTCTCAACAAGGCCTAATACGTCTGGCCGCTGAGAAGTTACAAACTAGTACAGCTCATCGCGTTTATTCATCAGACTGCAGACATTAGTAAAGGCTACGCGCAGGCCGTGGTAGTAACCGCTAGGCGCTCCTGAAGCATCAGGAACTTGATTCGGATTCGCGGAGGAATTCGGGTGACTACCCGAATTTACAATACGGAGAGGTGTTTCTCCATCGTCCGTGCGTCGCTTTAGGTCGGTCATCGCAGACTTGAGTTTCTCTGTCTGCTGGGTCTAAGTCAGCGCGCACGTGGATATTTAGAAATTTCGGCCTATTAAGGCAGGACAATACTAACTTAGGAGTTGCCTCTTCAACAGGCAGCAGGAGACCTGGTATTAGCGAGACCCTACGCGTTGAGAGTGGGCAGCCGATCCACAGCTTGTCAAAACGCTTGGTGGGTCGCGCTGCACCCTTTGCAAGAAAATTTAACAAACCTGATTTATCGCTTTCTTCTTCGGGAATTGAGCGCCCTTCTCCCTGGGCCGTCTCCTTGGATCCGCCTTCACGCGCAGAAGTCGAACGTGAGATCCGGCTGTTGAAATTGCATAAGGCCCCAGGTGCAGATAGAATTCCCCCAGCCCTTTACAAATTCGGGGACCTGCTCTAGTAGATGATTTACACGAGTTGCTAGTAAAACTTTGGGAGCAGGAGACAGTCCCGACAGATTGGAACCGCTCCGTCATTGTTCCAATTTTCAAGGGAGGCTCCCGTTTGGAATGCGGCAATCAAAGTGGGATCAGTCTGATTTCGATTGCCTCTAAATTGCTTGCCTTTGTCATTCTCTACAGACTGACTGGCACTCGTGAAAGCCAGATTCGTGAAGAGCAAGCCGGATTTCGTCAAGGTCGGTGCTGCATCGACCATATCTTCACATTGCGTCAAGTGTTGGATCACCGCCATGTTTATTGGCGACTCACCGTTGTCGTGTTTCTTGACATAAAAGGTGCCTTCGACTCAGTCGATCGATGTGCCCTTTGGGACTGTCTGCTGAGGAAAGGTGTGCCTGATAAATATGTAAACATTATCAGAGCGCTGTACGAGCTTAGTTCGGGCAGGGTGAGGGTTTATGGCAAACTGTCGCCACCCTTCAGTATCACCAGCGTTGTGAGACAAGGATGCCCGCTGTCACCTTTCCTCTTCAACTTCGCTATTGATGAAGTCATAGAAACAGCGTTCGCTGGACACGACCTAGATGGTGTGGAGCTACTTCCTGGTGAGCGACTTTTTGACTTGGTGTATGCAGACGATATTGCCCTAATCTGTGACAGCTCCCAAACATGCCAAATAGCACTGGACCGATTAGCACTGGCTGTCAATCGTTTTGGGCTATGCTTTGCTCCATCGAAATGCAAAGTACTTCTCCAACATTGCAGGGACCCAAACCTGCGCTAACGCTTGGGGGTGAGCTGCTAGAAATCGTTCAGGAATTCAAGTACCTGGGCAGCTATATTAGCACCCGTGGGATTGAAGATGAGGTTACGAACCGCATAGCAAAAGTTTGAGGTGCTTTTGCCAATCTCCGCCACCTGTGGCACAGACGCGACATTACTCTCGCCCTGAAGGGCAGAGTTTACAACGCAGCCGTCCGTTCAACTCTCCTATATGGTTATGAAACCTGGCCCATCAGGTCGACAGACATGAAGAGGCTCGTCACGTTCGATCATCGCTGCCTTCGCAGCTTAGCTCATGTCTGGTGGGAACACCGCGTGAGCAATGATCGTGTTCGACGTCGCGTATTTGGTGCAGGAAGAGCGAGTGAACCGCTCAGCACCATTATATGACGCATCAGGCTCCGATGGCTGGGCCACGTGTTGCGCATGCCAGCACACCGACTCCCGCGACGTGCATTGTTTGCGCGTTGTGGTTGCGGTTGGAAGAGGAGGAGGGGAGGCCAAGTGATGACTCGGTCGAGAGAAATGAAAACCCTCACTTCGAAGTTGGCGTCGGTTGGTGCATCCCGACTGTCTGGCTGGGGTCCTAAGGACGGTGAACACGTTTGATTGGACACACTTGCTGATATGGCTCGGAGCCGGCACCAATGGCGTTTGTGTTGTGAGTTCCTTTGTCCATCCCCCTCCTGTTTAGTATCCCCCTCCAATCACGATCTCACCTGTTAGGCATAATACGATTCTCTTTACGGCAGCCAGCTTTTAGCTCTCTGGAACAATGTCCTTCCGTTACTGGGGACTCAGCGGGTGTGCCACTGTTTGCCTTTTCTTGTCTTTTGTATTGCGGCACAATAGCTGGAGTGTTTTCCACCTCCAGCTAACGTGTAATGATGATGATGA